TTTTGTGTTACTTGCGCTCCAGTAGAACTGTTTAGTCCTGGTAGTGTCAGCTCTCGTGTCTAGTCCTGTGATTCAGTTGCTACCGGTACTTAGCTGTGTGCTAGTTTCTGCCGTGCTGCCTGTATGGACTGCTGAGCTTTATTTTCACCATTAAATTCATTATCTTCACCATACCTGGGTTCTCAGCGTCTCTCCTCACCACTTCAACCCGCAATTCATGACAGTTGTGAACACTTTATAAAAGAGTGAACAAAGAGGGCCTGTTCACTCTTTGTACTATGTAGACATAATAAAACTGGACTAACTTTAAATAACTAAACACAAGAAACAAACATAGTAAATTATAACCACTAAGAAAAGACTAAACTAGAGACAACAGCAACAAAGCTAATCTAATTGAAGAAGAAGACCAAGGAACACAGAATAATAATGAGACTATAATCATTAAATAAAACCCCAAAACAACTTTAAACAACCCAAGATTTAAAAAAAAAAAAAAAAAAAAAGTTACATTACATGTAATGAGCAAGATGGAGTGTCGTTGATGTATGTTTTTTTTTTTAAATCAAAGGCAGAAGTAGCAAAAACTAAGAAAGTGTTTTGTCAAAATAGCTTGCCTCGGTTTTGTGTGCATTTAATACTGTTTATAAAGGATGAATGAAAAACCAGGCCAAACTAGAGCTCTCACTATGATTGGCTGAATATGTTGCCCTGACAACGCTCCCACACTCTATCCCCTCCCGCTAACAGCTGGGTTGTTATACAAACAACTTGGAAGAAGTGGATCTGAAGTCACACATATTGAGCAACAGATTTGTGAAGCTGTGTTCACTGACTTGTACTTGTGGCAAAACTGGCACACGTTTCACAAAAATAGAAATAAGTGAATTATTTGTGCACAGAGACACACAGGACAAACAACCATGCACGCACACAGTTCTAAGGACTGTTTAAAGATGATTTATTTACCTAACAACCATATATTTGGACTGTGGAAGGAAACTGGGGTGCCCAGAGAGAACGCACCCACAGAAGAAGAATGTGCAAACTCCACACAGGCCACTGTTAAGTCTTAATTTGTATCCATAATGCAAATTAACAGTTGGTTTTGATTGATATTTTTGATCATTGACCATGTGCTTAGTAAATACAGTACATCCATGGACAAACACAAGCAGGCCTTTGTCTCAAAAAAGTCTCTTGAAATCCTGTATTTTATGTGAATCCAAAAGTTTGAATGCAAGGGTCTTCACAGCTGAGTGTAGAATCTCCCTTCTCATGTCAGTAAATAGTCGAGTAGAACTAAATCAACAGGTCTCTAAGGAAATGAAAATATTATATGTTAAAATGGGAACAGGGAGATAAACAGCTCACAGCATCCGTGTGTGGGAGAGGAATCAAATTGGGCCCTAGTGGAACACCTACATGTCTGCATAAGCAGAATGAACAGCAAACCAATCCACAACTGGAACATTCAATGATGAGAGTCTCAAATTTCCCCTTCTCTCATACAGCATGACGCTTTCTATCTTAAACAAATGTGGAGGGAAGATTTTATGGAAAACATGTTTTAAGAAGTTGCCAGTGAAAGAGCAAATTTTTCCACTATAGAGTTTGACTTGTTCATGGGAGATGTTTTTTTTTTTTTCACTAGGTGTTTCCGAGATCAGTATTGACCTTTAAAACATAGAGATGCATTTTACATAGTCTGATTTGTAGGATATCAAAAAAAATAAAAAAAATACCATTGGCATTCTGTAATGTAATTACAATTGCTTTGGTGCTTTGATGTTGAAAAGCAATCAACACCTGAAGACTTAATTACGATTCCACCTGCTTGTTTCTTTATAATGTGAATATTATCTAAAAGTTTTATTCCTCCAAAGAAAAACACGGGAAAGTTTCTCAAAGGACTGCAATTTCATCTTGCTGTAGTTTTTTTTTTTTTTTTCTGTCAAGGTCATTTCAAAAGGATCACATTGCAGACAATAAAAGTTATTACAGGTCAAACTGCAGAGTGTCACCTCAGCACATCTCGTACTAACCGAAGAGAAAACCCAGTTACGTCTTTGGGCACACATCATTTCTATGGACTGAAAAGAGGATTCACATGAATAAAAATCTGAGAAGAAATGCATGTCTGATGGTTTTTGTACCAAATCATCTTCCTTCTTTGCATTGTCCTTTAAAACGTTTTTTACGAGTCCCAGCTCTCACAATGTGACCTCTTATTTTAAAGTCAGTGGAGAGCTCTCATCATTCTGTAACCTGTAAGCATAGCTTTTATTTTCAACAAGTTCGCTGACCCAGTTTGTTAAATGCTGTGTTCCTAACGGCACAAATACCGACGGTTGTCTGTATGGCTCATGATAAATCTAACATAAAAAACAATTGAGCTTTATTGATTGAACAAATTGTTCATTTTACGACACGTTTGTGCTTTCACTGAGATCTCTACTGCCTGTCTTGGGTCTTTGGGGAATAGTAGGATTAGTGATTTATTGAGGTCAGTTTGGGATTTTCAGTGTCACAAAGCTGGTTCATTTCTTACCTGGGTCTTTCACCATGGCAACATGTGATGGAAGGCCAGCCTGCTTAAAATCCAGGTTCCAGTTTAAAGATCAAGGCTAAAGAAGCATGACCTCTCATCCAATCAATGCACCCAGGTCTCCCTTTTTCTCCATTTCTTCGAGTAACAGCTCCATGTCTTATTTTCAGCAGAACATGTGAGATATTTCAGAACAGTCAAAAGGATAGAGTGGTTTATTTAAAATTTGGTCCTGAAGTTGATGATTTAGAAAGTAAAATTGAATGAGTTTCTTGCTTGAAATTCATTTGAAATCTCTTAAGTGTCATCTTTAGTGTAAGTTAAAATATATCTCAAAGACAATAGGAATATCTTGAACTTGTTTTATGGAACATTTGTTAGAAAAACTAAAAGACTGGAGGGCTTTGATCAGTAATTCAGCAGTTTATGGCAAAATCTCAGAGGTTTTGGAAGGTGTTTTTCTAAGTCTGAACAATTAATTTTAAAGTCATGAATTCTGTTTGTGTTCTGTTTTATTTTCAGTTAGATTCAACTTTGGTGCTGCAAGTCAATCACAAAACAGGTAGCATGTTTTAAGCTATGGTTGAAAAGACTGGCATCAAGTCAGATACCTTAATGTTAACATTTGTCTTTTTGCACAACTGCCAAACTAAACTAAAATCAGTTTCTCTTCAAAGCTCTGAAGAAGTGCCTGTGGCAACATTTACTTCTTCAGGTGCAGAATACAAAACTGTGCAAAAAAAACAGCAGCAGCAACAACAACAAACACCGAAACAGCCAGTTATTTGTAGAATTTATCTGTTATTTTTTTTAGCAATCCTCTCAATGAGTCATACAAGTACGCATTTGATCTCCTTTTTGGGAACTGAGAATGTTTTATTGTAATAAAAAATAAATAAATAAAACACTTTGATTTAAAAGCATTCATTTGGGTCATTTTGTATGATATCACAGAAAAGCCGTTGCAGCCTTAGATGTAAGAGAATGATGTTCAATCTTCTCTCTAGTGTGTCAACTGGAGCACACCATGTTAAAGATAAGAGAGTATGGCTGCCATATTCAGAAAGTCAATGCTATCGTAGGCTCAAGTCAAGCTCTGATGTGGGGTTCACTATCTGGAGCTCCTTTTTTTTTGTGGCACAGACCAAAGGTAGCGGTAGATAAAAAAAATAAATAAATAAAAATCCGAAAGGCACATGCTGACCAATATTAGTGAAGCTTTGAGAAAAATAAGATGATATTAATGAGACATCAGCAAAGCCCCATGAACCTAGAAAAGGAAGCAGCATAAAAAGACTTTACTGCTTTAATGTGTTGCATTCATTAGAAAGCTTAAGAGATATTTTGCTACTTCCTTTCAACATGAAGACTGGATATAATGACTTAGTGGAATCTGAGAGGGGCCTGTTAAAGCGTCAAATTCAGAGATCATTTTCATTTTGCTCTGCTGTTCACCTCAACTCTCTGGACTGCCTTAAAACTCATTTTAGGATTTTCACAATCCACAACTTCACTGCTTCTGTCGGCATTGGTGGATGGATATTCAAGGTGAAAATTCTTTGACTAAACAAGAGACAGCAATCGAAAAGTTGAATGCTTACTGAACACTACACCCAGAGAGCTTGTGTTCACATTTCTGTATGTTAAATTAACATTTAGACAACATTGCTCCCCATTGCATCCATCGTCCATTTAAAAATGAAATGATGTAGCTCTTTATGGCAACAAACCAGTTATTTTTACTTGTCCCAGAAATAAGGTAGAAACTTGGAGGAGATTGGAGCTTTTTATGTTTGTCTCTAAAACTTTGAAATACCACACATACATTTTCACCTCCTGTTTGTGATTCTCTTACATCCAGTGTTAGGGGAGACACTTATTTATGACACACACACAGACAAAAAAAAAAATCAAAGAGCACATTCGTTTATCTAAGACAATGTGCAGCATTTGTTCCAGAGGAACGACTGAGGACAACTCTCAAAATTTTCTTTGCTTTATTTTGACAACATCCTGTTAACAAATAATGACAATTTAACATGCACAAAAACAATATATGTCTTTGCCATTTACAGCCTTTTTGCAAAACTTCTTAACAAGAATTGCTCTGTAAGAAGGTCTTCCACTGGGGTAAAACCAAAACTTGCAGTATAAAATCCCCTTTGTTCATTTCCGCCAGTGCTAACAACATACAGTGCATGTTAAACTTTGACAACTCCTCACAAGAGATAAAGAAATATAAAAGTTGAGTTATCTAAACAAGAAAGTTCTTATTAAATTCTAACTTATCTTTTGTTATAAAGCAAACACTTTGTCTATAACTGGCCACTCACACAAATTAACAGTTTCAGCCAAAACACATTTGCCTAAAAGTAAATCGTTTTAGTCCACAAACATCAACAAGCTTAGGAAAAAGCAACAAAAGCAAAACACTAGAATCATTAATTTCATATTGTTAATTCTATCAGTAACAGATTGGTATGACAAATAAGAGCATTCTGGTGGTTCAGTTGGAATGTTAAGTGTTTTTTTTTGTTTGGTTTTTTTTTGGTTTGTGAGGACACAAAAGGATGTAGACAAGTGGAATAAGCCTTTTATGTGGTCTTTGCACATTGAAACTGACTTCAACCCATTGACAAATCAGCTTTAGTGCTGGCCTACAGCTGACGATGCTACTGTTAGTCACACCTTACATGTCTTAACTCTCAAACAGGATTATCAGTTGATAACTCTTGCAACGCTTCCCATCCTGAGACATTGGATCTTTTTGTACTTGTGCATGCGATCATGGTGATGGTGGTGGTGGCGTCTTCAGAGAGTTGGTAGATCCTCCACTCACTGTCGCTCCCTGTCCGACCCACTAGAGCGCAAGAAAGACAAACATTGTTTTTGACAGACGTGAAACAGAAACGTCAAAGTTTTGAAGAGACACAACTGATATGCAGGCAGACCATTTGCTTGTGTATAGAAAAAATAAAAAGAAGATTCCATATTAATTTAATTTAATAAATGATGATAAATTACACAGTTGCATGAGTAAAGAGTTGGCCCATCGCATTAGCAAATTAAATGTCTGTTTGTTATTAGGGGGCCCCAAAGAGAGCTTGGCCTCTAAGGTGACTCTCAATTAAATAAATAAAAAAATAATAATTCAACAGGTCCTTCATTTAGGTGGTTTTTCTGCTTTTTCTGTTTTTTGCTGATATTTTGATCATTTATCTTTGGAGGTCCACTCCATGTCTTTAGGAGTGGAAGACCTCTTTGCCATTATTCTAAACTTTAGCTCCTTTCCCAGATTCTCTATCAAGTTCAACTGGACTCTGGCTGGGCCCACTGCTAAACAGTAATATTGCTTACAGTCAGAGGATGAAGCCGGTAAAATCCTAGGAGTTTACCTGCTTTAAACACTGACTTTTAAGGTTGTAATGTGAGAAATTGTAAAATGGTTCAAAGGGTGAAAATATGTTTTAAGTCTTGGTTGTTTCCCAGCCGCTCTTGTAAATGGGATTGAGTATCGCAGTTCTTCTGTGTCTGTTGTTGAGAATTCAAGACTTGATATAGGATTTCATATCCGTCTATTGACCATAACCACTTATCCTTCCATCACAGGGCAACGCAGAGGCACACAAGACAAACAACCATGCACAAACACACTCACTCCAAAGGACAATTTAGAGAAAACAATTAACCTAACAGTCATGGTTTTGGACTGTGGGAGGAAGGCAGAGTATGCGGAGAACACACACATGCACAGGGAGAACATGCAAAATCCATGCAGAAAGATCAGGAACTCAAGACCTTCTTGGTGCACGGCAACGATGCTACCAATGGTGCCACTGTGCAGCTCAGAGCCAGATTTACAATCACATTTTATTTTGGTCTGGTTGTCTGGTTCCAACTGGGAAAATCTAGATTTTAAAAATTAGATATCCAGACTCAACTGCTGGTGTGAATTTATGATTTAAAAAGTGAAGTTTGGTCTGATTTGTGAACTTTAAGTTCATTTACTATAATTGTATGCATGAGCCTGGTAAATTTCTACATTAATTGGAGAATAATAAATATGGAGAGGCTCTCTGCTAACAGAGGTTGTGTAGTGTGCTTGTAAAAAAAATCAAGATTTTATTCTATTGTACATTTTGGATATAAAAAAAATAAACTCTTGGGATTTAAAACAAGGGCTCTATGGTGGGAAAACATCTGTCAATACCTTTGTACATCATTGGATTGTGAACAGTTGTGGCATGTGCAGCTGACTGAATGAGGTACTAATTGGGGGACATCAGAGTTTTGAAGACTCTTGACTCTCTGTGGTAGCCCTAAACACTAAAATACATTTTTGGCACCACAGATATGCACGTGTGGGCATAAAATATTTCCATATTCGTGTACAAATGGAGCAGAGAGCAGAACTCCCATTTCCAAGGAAAGCAATGCCTAATGAAGCCTGCACATCACCATCATCTTTATGATTTGTGCAACTATTTGAATGATTACTACAATTTGCATATTAAATAAATTGTGGTTTTATTTGTAGATGCTAAAATAGTTATTTTATTCATGTAAAGGGAATTATCACCCAACTCTGAAACTGCTTTAACTCATTTAAATTAATCTTCTGGTTTCTGTCTCTGGTTTTATGAATATCATTTCCAGCCACAAGCAGTTTCTCAGAGACTAAAAACAAGTTTTTCAGTCCCATCCTCATCAACAACTGGCAGAGACCGCAAACAAGTATCATTCAGAGCTTCTTTCACTTCCAACAGAGGTATTATAAAGGTTTGCTCTGGTTTTATTTTAGTGTCTCTTAAATATATAGTCTATCTTTAGAAGAAGAAGATTTTCTTCAGTATTACTTGACTACTTTAACATCATTGGCTGTTGACCCTATATGGTATAACACATTTCACATAAAAAATGTGGGGGTTGATCTGGTCACTTTTGATCTGAATTTAACCTGCCCAGGAAAAGGCAGGATGACCCAGTGATGGATTCCAACGTGAGCCAAGCCCCTGAGACCACAAAGGTAGAGACTGAAGCTCAAAGTTGGTTTGTGAGCACACCTACCTCTCAGGAAGCCCCTGCAGTAAACCTCTTTTGAGATTCAGTCACTCATTCATGTGACAAAGAGAAGGAAACAGCTTCTCAGCTTCCCATATATTCCTTACTTTTCACCCAGTGGCATCAGAACTGGTTGGAGTTACTCAGGGGGACTCTGCTGTTTTTTTGGTGGATGAGTGTGTATGTGTGTGTTTACAGCAGTGGCTGAAAAGATCAAGCTGATGTATTATTAATGTCCCCCAGTAGGAAGTTCAAAGCTTCTGTTAATGTTTAACATCGGTGTATGCAAGTGTGAATTTGTAGGTGTGTGTGTGTGTGTGTGTGTGTGTGTGATTTTATGCGGTGCACTGTATATAACCGTATGTTTAGCCTGCTTTACTCCACTGCCCCAAAGTAAAATCCAGTGCAAACTAATTTATTGAGAAGTCACCTAATTTGCAAAAAGCTCTCACCTGAATTAGGCAGAAAATAAATACTGCCATGATAACACCATCCCCAACTTTGGTAGATACAATTTTCAACAGGAACAGGGAAGGTCGTCAAATTTGATGGAGAGGTCGATACAGGACAATCTTGAAAAAGAACCTCTGAGAACCTCCAGTGACTTAGACATGGGGAAAAGATTCACCTCCATCCATAAAACTGAGAATTTTGATAACTGATGTTCATTAAGTCTCACTGAGTTTGGGTAATTTTGCATAAAAGGATTAGAAAAAAGTTCATTGTCTAACTGTGCAAAGCTGGTAAAGGTACTGCAGCTGTAACTGCAGTGAAATGCGGTAGTGTTAAATATTTGGGGAATTGATTTCAGTTGCATGCTACATTTTTCATACTGTTTTGAAAAAAAAAAGGCAAACTATTAATCCCTCTTACCTCCTGCTTTCTCACACTGTTAGGCACTAAAATGCATTGAAGCTTGTGGCAGTAATGTGACAAAATTTGAACATGTTTATAGTGCCAATACTTTTGTGAGGAGTTATATGTATGTGTCAGAGAGAAAGAGAGCTTTTCTGCACTCAGAGCTTGTGAAAATATTAGGGTCACTATCCCTTCACTGCCACTGAAAATCTGTGGGTAATCTGAGTGAAGGTTCAAGCCTCATCTTGTATGATGCAACTCTCACAAAAACGCTGATGTGCTAATTAGGGAAAGTGGGTGGAAATTTGGTGGAAGAAGAATTACAATAATGTTGTTTGACAGTGGGGTGTAAAAAAGCAGTTGCACAGCCTACCTGATGTTATGTAAAGCAGACAAATCAACTCTTTTTGTAAAAAGATTTAACCGGAGGTGGATCGAGTCGAATTGTTACCGTCACAGATTGTATATAAAAGTTGAACTCATCACTTTTCTGCTATGTAAATAGGATTTGAAATAGTAATGTTAAAATGATCCTTAAGTAAATGTTTTAAATATTGTAAGTGCACACAGTAATTATGAATGCTCCAAGTGGATGAAGCTGTCAGTGCCTGCATTTTTTCTAAGGCACAACTGAGGCTTAACATCATTTTGCAGCAGATACATCAGTGATGTAGATGGTGGAATGATGGAAACAGATTATGCTCATTAAATTTAGTCTTGTTTCTGAGGGAAATGCCATGATTGTTGCAAATAAAATCTGAGTGTTCGTTAGGGGCAGAATAACGTTCCAGGAGACCCTCACCTTTCTCATAATGAGCGCTGCCAGACCTGCTGTGGATGAATATAATACTAATGATGTCTGGAGAGGGTTTGCATCAATAGACATTGTGAAGACAAGACCAAATAGCCCATAAGTTGACAAAATAACAAAGCACTTTGCATTACAGCAAGCACGGCAAGTGGAACATAACAGGGAAGCTTCAGTCAATCTGAGCTTACGTTTTAATTTCTTTAGTGAGAAGAAATAAAAAAAATAAAATAATGCTGGTTGATGGAGATGTTCTCATTCACTGGGACGGATATACATTTTGGGAGGTTCTGACGGAATACCAACATATTAAGCTTTTGACAACTCAACATGAATTTACATGAATCAGTGCAGGATCTGTTATAGCATGCCCTGTTTTTTTAATGAGTGTGGGCTGGGAAGTCAGGAATAGAAGCAGCTCTGTGAATGCAGCCACCTCGCTCTCTCTGTCTCTGAAAACAAAGCGCAGTTGTGGAAATCACAGCAAAACAAGTCAAGTGTACGTGAGGGTTATGCAGTATTCCTGTTACATAATTGTTTTTGTTCTATTGGAAAACACATACAGTAAACGTGGGATTACAGACGCATTAGTCTGGAAGTCATCCATCAAAGTAACTTCTGTAATGAAGTGCATCTGTTATTTACTCTATAGGCTCAATGTTAGTGAGTAGCGTAGAGCCTATGTTAATGTAGCCATTAACGTAGGCTAATTTCAATGACAATTGTGCTAATTTTATTTAAGTCTTGGTTTCATAACATTTGAGTGCTAATTCAGAATTATCACTCAGCATAGACAGTATCTTACAATTTATACTATTATAGGTAAATTGGTCACTCATGGAAATGTAATTGTCACTTGCAATAACGTCCGGTTGTATCAATTTGCGATAAAAAATGAATTTCCATAAGAGACTGAATTAATCAAGAAAAAGTTGTCTTTAGCATAACATTTTAACTGCTAACTGTTAGAAAGTACCGTAAGTCTGGTAGGGCCATGATTAAACGTGTTGATTATGATTATTAAATTACATAGATTTTAACACGTTACATATTTTAGTGCAATTAATTGTATCTACACACTTGAATACAAAGGTTCCAGCCAGAGTTTCTGGTATGCCTATATATCTGACGCACAAGAGACATTTGCTCACAAAACCATTGGATGACAAAGCTGCTTCTTTTAGTTCATTTGTGCATTAAAAAAAACAATCTGAGAGGTCTGACAAGTGATTTTGAATTAAGTTGCTGTGTACCTAGACTATAGTTTTCTACTCAAATGTGAATAATTGTGATTAATTAATTATAGACAATTAAAAAATTTTATTGAGTTGCTCCTCTAATGTTCATTGATTAAAGCCTAAAATTAGTGTTCCATATTAAACTAACGATTACAAATCTCCTTCTACATGATTGCCAATGAAAAACCAGTGAGATTTGATGACCAGTGGCTCTGCTAACAACAGTGAGGTTAGAAAATGTGTTCTCACAAGCTAAAGTCATGACTAAAACAATATAAAAGCGAAGTTTCAAAATAAGTGCGGTGTGTAAAAAGTGTTCCATGGCAGGAATGTGTGAGGGAGAATATCTACCTTGTGCACAGCTAGATCCGACACCGTAAAGTTTTAATTACTCACTGAGGATTTTGTGACGTCAAGCAACATGTAGTGGATAAGAAAATGTCTTGAAAAGCAAGAGGCAGATGACAGGGAACAAGAGCAAAATTATGTTCTCTGCAAGACGTTTCAGATGATACGGGGTACGATCAATTCAGCATTCTTTCTTTTTTTTGAGAAAGAGAAAAATACTGAAAATGTAGATAACTAACACTACTCGGATGAAAGCAATTCAAAACGTTTCAGTCTTGTTAAGCCTGGATGTCTAAACGTGTTACCCATTGTTAGCAGCTACTGTATTTTTCAGTTGTGTTATTGGCAAATAACATTAAGCAAGCAATCGGTGATAAGTAAATTAATTGAGCATTGATAACATTGTACGGACAGGGAATAGGTCCCTCTACATCGGCGTTTATAGAAGAAAAACATTTTTAAGCCTTTTTTAACTTTCTTTTTACAGTAAAAGCATAATCTCTTACTTTTATAATGAGAAAATACCATCTATCCTTGTGTTTGCTACTGATTAGCATGCTATTGCAACAAAACATTTAAGTTATTTTTTTTATTTTAAAAAAATCCTGTCATTTTATTATTGCCTTGAAAGCTCAGTAAAGTAGGAGTCTTAAGTTCATGATAATTTTGTTACATTAACATCAATTTAGAACATTTAAAGATATGCTTGTCCGCAAAGTCTCAGAAGGCCCTACCTCAATGAGAGGGTGCCAGTGTGCGATGGGTTTTCTGGGGTACGTTAGCATCTCAATCCAGTGATCCCGACCCAAGCTTTCGGCTTCGCTACCAACCCTGCATACTCCGATTACTTCATTGTGTCCGACCCTGTGGGATAGTATTATAAAAAAAACACACACACACACACACAATGAGTTTTACAGGTTTTTTTTCTTTTTAGTGAATGCGTCTGAAAGGGAGCTCTAAATGTACAGACCTATCATAATCCATGACTGCAATGAGCAGGCTGATTTGGTCGATATTCTCGGGAGGAACGTCAAACACAATGGCTTCATTGTACACTGGGTTCAGTGTGTTACGCTTGGTTGAAGTCTTTCTTTTCTTTAGCCTCCTTCCCTCACACATCAAGGACACTTTCACATATGGATCTAGAAAGAGATTACATAACAAAATAAAGCTGCACGCTGTTATTTGAGGGGATTTTACAGTTCAGGAATTGGCATCTTTTATATTAAAAAGCCTACTGACTATTAGGCTACTGCTAATATAGACCCCTGGTATTCACCCATAAAAAGCTGAAATCTCCAAACACTCATAACTGTCTATTTTAATGGCTCAAGCACCACATGTAGCTTAATATGCATTTATACACATAGTGGAAAGTGTCTTGGCACAACCGCAGAACGTATCACTCATGGTCTTCCTTATCTCCGCTCATGAGTCAATCAGAGCCAAAGGAAATGAGAGAATTAGTTTTCCTTTTTTATGCATTTTTAAATACTTTAAATCATTTCTGAAAGGAAACACTGAACTGTTGATCAGCTCTCACCTGAGGCTCCAGTGATGTCCATGGCTTTTAGGTTTCTGGCTTTGATTATGGTGATGGTAAGTCTGCCAGCCGTGGGGAGATAGCACAGCGAGAACATCAGCTCTCCAAGATCCACATTATCCTACAACGAAACATATGATAATCTTTCGCTAGCATGTGTCTCCTCTCTTACAGAAACCACATGCCTATATAAAAACTGAAATTACTTTAGAAAGTTACTGCAGACACATATAGTACTTGAAACCTTGACGCTATAATATACAAACTCTGACAGATAGAAATAAGGTGCAGAGAATATATAACATGAAAAACTGTCCAGACCTGTATCTTATTATTGATTGATAGATCGGGATGGGAACGTGGGAATGAATGTTTGGTGATTAAATTAATTTGACGTTCAGGTGTATTTAAAGTACAGCAAATTCCAAACATGATGAAGTGATGACGCGTGTCTTCACCTCAGGCATGGATCACACCTAACACACGTCAAACCGAAAATATTGAAGACCTTTCATAATGACATCTGCCTTATCTCACATGGCTCCTCTTCTTTTTCTAAAGTTAAATCATCCTTTCATCATTTTAGGCTCCACTGCAGCTGCTGTAACTCTAATTGAGCCTGTGCTCAAACTTGTTGACTCCTACCTCACGTTTTACCTTCTCCTGTTTTCATACATTCAGAACAAATTTACATTCGCACTCACGCCAGGCTCCCTTTTCCCAATTAGCACTTCTGAAAATAACGTGTGACTGTGTGAAGGTGAGCTGTGCATTCATGAAGCACAAGTGCTGACAAGCTCTAGTTTTACATTTTCATAAGCATATTGGGCTCCAAAAGAGCTGCTTGTGAAGACATTTTCTGAAAGGGAAAAAAACAACAACAACAAAAAAAAACAAGGTTTTGTTACTACCTTTAATATTTACATTGAAGAAATGCTTTCATCACATTTATGCAATGCCATACAGTGCAACTGCTTCTAGAAAAGCTCTAGCCCAGCGCTGCTTTAGCCATGCCTAGTGTCTGTTGAATTTTACCATAGGTCACATTAACATTGTTCCCCTATGATGGGCCGTATGAGTCTCACTGTACTTTTCATTGGAATCCCATAGACTGAAGACTTTTTCAACAGAGAAAAAAATGAATTCATAAAATTATTAGGAGCAATTTTTTATGCCTGAGCCTTAAACCAGTTTGAAGAGGAATGACACTTATAGTGAATGAGTGTAGAAATACGGTACTCCTTCATATGCTTAAGATTAATTGGTGTTATTTTGTCATGATCCGTGTTTCTGTGTATTTATTTTAAGGTTTTCTTGTGTTTAGTTTCTGTCCTGAGTCTCTGTTGTTTCTGTGTCTTCCCCGTTGATTGCTTCCCAGGTGTGTCTCATTCTTTGATTACCCTCCCTGTGGATTTAGTCCCACCTGTTGTCTTTGTCTCTTGTCGGATCCTCGTCGTACGTCGAATGACGTTTGTCTGCCTGGCATCACAGTTGAACTGTAAAGTCCTGTGTTGGTTTAGCTCTCTTATTCAGTCCTCAGTTTTTTGGTTGCTACTGGTAATTAGCTGTGTGCTAACTCTCTGCCGTGCCGCCTGTGTTGGACTGTGCTTGAGCTCTCTTCATTAAATCATCTTCATCATCATCGTCTGGGTCTCAGCATTCATCCTCACCACCACCAACCACACCCCATGACATATTTAAGAGACACAAACACTCTCATCCATGCAGATCAGAAACCTGCTGCCTCTCAATACTGTTGAAAACCAAATTGATAAAAAATGAGTTAATTCATCATGGTTGACAGCATATGCACGCCTGGGAACACATACAATATGTTCACACTTCCATGTGTTCACGCAAACAATCATCAGCCGGGATCTCTGACACTGACTGATGAGTCAATTCATTACAAGTGTTGCCGAGGAAGAATCTACATCTGACACCTCGTCATCGCTGTTGCTTTGAGCATTGGCTGGTAATCACGTATGGATGGCTTATGATGTCTCAGAGGTGTAGCGCACAGAAATCCTGGCAGAGGCACAAGAATCTGCAACCTGATACATGCAGGCAAGGAAAGAGATGCGGGATAAATAAGCCCTTAAAGCGCTCCAGCGATAATGTGATCTCCTTCTTCCATCGTTCTCTTACACAGAGAGACTGTAGAGTTAGGCTTACAGGATATAGAGTGTCGGTCACTACTATTATGAGCACTCAAATCAAGCCTGCGGTTAGGATTATGGTCACTCGCGCTCTTCCAATGAAATTAGCCTGTATCTCTAAAGCACCCCAATAAAGAAGCGAGAGTGTGAGCAGTCCATCTTCTCCAATATAAGACAAGCACCTCACTTCCCTCAGGAGCTGCCAGGTTTTATATACAAGCATCTTGCAGACTTGGACCAACTCCACTTTTGGTCTGCGTGTGGTCTCATTAATACCATCCGATCATTGTTCACAAATGTATTTGTATGTTTAAGCAGGTCAAACTAAAATGCTCATGTTTTTCAAGGTAACTTATGTTATAGTATTTCTTACACAGTACATGAGTTTGATTCCGGTTTTGAAGTCCAGCCTCTGTGTGAGAAAAGTTCAGACAGTATTCTTACTTTTGCCAGTCGTGTAACATGGAACAATTTCTGCTCTTGTTGTACAGACCTAGATGCCTGGAGATAAAAGGGACAAAATAAACCTGCTGCTGCACAACAAGGGAATTGCTTGTTTACTGGAACAACCAGCAAAGTGTTATCAAAAACGTTCCAAAGCAACTTAATGGGAGTGGAGGGAGACCGCAGAAAGTTAAAGATGCAGAAGCCACGCGATCTCCTGGTTTTTTAGTTGGGTCAACCAAAGAAAGACAATCCTACATGTTTTGGAAACACAGTGAAATCCTTTAATATGCTAAAATCAGAGATATTGAGTACAGCAGTGACTAAGGTCAGTTGTTAAAACTTTAAATGGGTTTAAACTAAAGACCCTGTTCTCTCTGAGCTTGTCGACAGTACAGTAGCTCTATCTGCCTGAGTGAGCACACTGGAAGTAAATAAATCACTGCCTTGACTGCACTTTAGCAGTAATAAATACACCATGGCAGAATCAGGCTAAGTGAAAAGATCCTTTATAACTGCCTGTGAAGGATAGTGAGATTGTCATGTTGTCCAAACTGCCAGTTTTTTGCAGTTTAAAAGAACTGAATGGTTATTTTATCTTAAAACGTTTACCGGCCACAGTTCTATGTATTATGTAGAAAGCTTCTCTTTCATGCAAACTTCTTAATTATTTAGAAGTGTACACAAGCTTCAAAGTAGGTAATTGTAAGGTTATCTTCAAAGGGTTACAATGTGAAACTTTTTTTTTTTTGGCTTCTGTAGTTCAGTTTGCATATTTGCTTTAATTCTGTCCATGTATACTGAAAATACTTTGAAAAAACCCCAAAAACAAACATAGTAGCCACTTAATAGATATTAGCTTATTATCAAAAACAGACTTTTCCTGCCACTTTGCATGGTAGACATAGCACAGCAGGTTTACTTGTAATTAAGCAGTTAATCATCGTCATTTCACTGTCAGACAATATGAAGATGCAATATATTTATCTTCCCTCTTGTCTTGTATGGAGAAAGAAGAACTTCAAGCTTTGGCTAAATGTGGGTGTATAAATGATGCAGCTTAAAAAAGGCTGAGGTATGTGAATGAAATGAACAGTTGTCATGAGGTATAAAATCTGATGACTTTTTTTGTCCAGTAAGACATTAGGTTAATTCAAAAACTGAATATTATTTCCTTGTCTTTCTTTAATGCCAACAACTACAACAATGCTTCCTACCAGTTCAAGTAGGGGTTAAATAATTTCACAGTAAGATGGAATACTCCTTTAAAGAGAAGACGCTTGATCTTGTTAAATCTTATCATGTAAAAGCAGTATACCTTATTAATATAGGTGAAACTAGATATTTACACACAGGTTACATAGGAAACATTATTTCCTCACATTCTGACACAGATGAACCTTTTCCTGTTTAAGCTGAGTTTGCGTTGTTGATGCAGGACCAAAATGCAGGCAGGAGCAAAAGAGGCACAGAATTTAATAACAGAATTGAGCAAACTAACAGAGAGGACACAAGGAAAGCAGAACTAGAGAGCAGAGCGGCATAACGAAAGGAAGCAAAGTTAACAATTGAGACCAGGGAGTTTAAATACATAGGAGATGTGATCAATGACAAGGGAACCGGGAGTCTAATTTGGAGAATTTGGAACAGCTGTTGGAGCAAATAAGAGCAAAAAGGGAGACTGAGGGAAAGGAGACTCATAAACACAGATAATACACAGGGACCTGAACTAGATATAAAATTGAGAAATCAAAATCGGAAAAAGACATACACAAACATAAGAGAATAAACCAAAATGCACAAAGGGAAGAACACAGGAACACAAAAATAAGTAAGAAGCTAAACATAAAGGACAACAGGAAATGAACTGAACATGGACAGAATGTGCTCACATATAAACCAATTTACTAACCCTATTATCAAAAAGAAACACCATAAAAAACACAAACACTCATGGATTATTTTAAAGCATTTTAGCTACAATTACCAAAATTATTTATTTGCCAAATTCCAGAATAATGAGGGAGAATTTTGAAAGTTTTCTTCAAAGTTACAGGTTTACACACACTGAGGTTGCTCTTAGCAATTTAGGAAAGCCAAAGTGACATTTTCATGTCTGTGTAATGTTCTGATTTATCACCCTAAACGCACTGCCTCCTCTAGTGACATCATAGAAAATTGAAAAATAAATAAAGCGTGATATCTGGAATGGACTTTTGGACTTCCAAATGTCTGGTTCATCCTTTGGTATAATTTATAGGTACCTGAAGGTGCCAAGTTCATCTGTTCAAATTATCATATGCAACTGGACTTCAGCCCTAGGCCTTATAAATCAGTCGTCAAGAAGCCTGCTTAAGTTGCTTGACAACTTAAGCAGGCTGCTGCTTTTCCCTGCTTTTCCAAAGCAGTGAGCAACGTATACTGATTTTTAAATGCCAGGGCTCTGGGTCTGTCCATTTTTTATTTTTATTTTTTTTTTTACATATGTGTATTGTTCATCTCAGCTGCTTGGTGAGTT